GGGGGGGGGGGGGAAGCATTTATTTTCGTTAACAAATTTGTTTTTGTCAAAAAATTCTGACAAATTTTCAATCAGTTCTGTGGAAATACCAGATAATTCACAGCATGGAAGAAGACAGAATCATATCAGGCTGTTTAAAAACAAACACTGAATATGATTTGATTTTTAATTTTTGCCATTAAATCTTTTTTTTTTTTTATCCAGATAAAGCATCATCATCTTTGGATTCTGTGAGTAAGAATAAATTAAGCAAACAAAGAAAGGAATTAAACAGAATGAGGTAGACAAGGTTCTTTGGGTAAATCTGATATATTTGGTTAGTTGGTCTAATAAAAGATACAGATTCACCCAAAGAACCTTGTCTGCCCATGTCCTTAGACCAACATGGCTACAACCTATGCCCCTTAAACTGAATGAGTCACTCTAGTATGTACTCTGGTTTCAGTTTCTATATTCTAGAAGGTGCGTATTGAGGAATTTTCCTGAGATAAAGTGTTTCTTTTTCTCCGTCACAATCCAAAAAACTTTAGCAATAAGATCAATGATTTGCTGTTTTTATGAAGTAGATGTTTATAAAGTTTTTTTTTCCTTTCATTGCATTTTTTGTCCTTATTGTTCGTATTTCCCTAATGTGTAGAGAGGCGTTGCTCAGTGACCCACTGCACTGAAAACTGTTCATGCTAGTCATTTTTTCTTAAATAAGCACAATGTTATAGTACAGGATTTCAGTTTATCCTATAGTTTATTTTGTATTTATAACAACATATGCAAATAGTGGAAGTGTAGGTTCAGATAAATTGCATTCACTTTTCTCCATACTGTACCTTACAGAAAGGGAGTACAGGTTAGACTTCTCATTACTCTTCCTTAAGAGATAGCTTCCATCACGTCCATTGGAAAGAAGCAGTGCTTCCGCTGCATGACGGGTGAGATTATCATGGTACCAGCTAGTAAGAAAAAAACATTAAAGATTCACTTATTTTGTCTGGCATCTGGTGAGTTGTGGAGCCATAACAACTCCACGGTGAAGGTTATAATCAGGTCTCAAGTCTTAAAAATTTCACACTTTCTCTCTCTCACACACACACGGTGTGAAGAAAAACTCCTTTTGGCCTGGAATCTTTCTCAAGAGAAGAGTCTCTTTGGAAAACTTGAAATAAATGGCTTAGCCACTTTGACTGAAATTTTAATACTGTTCTGACCTTTGGAATGGAAAAGTATAACCTTTATCACTTGCTTAGCTGAAAAAAGAGCTTGGTTTTAGATCGCTAACCTTTTTTTGCAGTTAAGTCCAATGAGGAACTAACACACAGTTCTGGTGTGAAGTCCAAAGTGTCATAACTGTAGAATCACACGATTCCCTCTGCTGAATGATACCAATGATAGCAAACTGCAACATATTAAGCCAAAAATCCAAATAATTTCAACATCTTATCCCAAATAGGGCCTTCAGATACCCTGGTAAATGACTCAGAGTAGGGCAAAATAAAAGTTCTCCCCTGCTTTCTACAGTGTGCTTCCTGCACATCTACACATTTTTTTCTATTAGAAATCCACCCAGAATTTAATGACATTTTCACCTGCACTGACTTTCTCTCTTGAGGACTCACTAGGAGAATAATGCCAGCACCAGATTTCTTGAATACCCAGTGTTTCCATTTTGAAAAATAAATCTCCACACTTTGGGTGCAGGCTTTAATCAAAGTAAATTTGTAGAAAAACCTAGAATGACCCACTTATACTGATGGGAGCAATGGTTTCCATCTAAAGGTGTCAGACATACAATGCTAGACAAAAGCAGGGTTGTGCACCCTGATGGATTTATTAGTATTGACTAGGAGATAGGACAGGCTGGACAAACAAATGCAATGTAAATATATGTAAATCCACAAGCCAATCTGTCACTCCATTGATGTTAACCCAGTGCTGGCAGCCCAGATGTGGGTAAGCCATTTTAACACTATGTCATTTGACTGTGTTCTGAACAGGCCTAAAAAAGCTCGCTGGCACCTCCGCTACACTACAAGGCTCCCATCTTGGAGCAGAACTAGTAGTAGGAACCATGAAAAATTTTCATAACATTTCTTCTTAGTGTAAATAGGGTCAAAGGGGAACAAAGGCTGTATTCATCTGGTAAGGGTGTGAAGCAGAGAAGATTCTTTGGAAAAAGTCAATAATGATCTGGTAGTACTGCATTCCACAGTCACTGGATGCAAGTAATACCTAAGAGTATTTATTCTGAGCAAGAACCCCAAACACATTTTCATTTTATTTTTTCAGTTTGTAAATGTGTCTATGTGCCAGCATTTCTGTGTACTGTATAAAGGCTTTCTCCCTGGGACTGCTTGGTTAGAAGCTAAGTGAAGATCCCTCACTCTCTTCCTTTTTAGATAGAATAGGCTGTTTAACAGGTACTCTTTCAGAAAATGAATTTTCAAAAATCTTCAAGATAGACTCCCTCAAGATATTTATGAACAGCTTATTGGTTACTGTGTCAACTGCAACAGTCTGAATGTAATTTGCATGATTGAAAAAAAAACAATTATATAAAAATACATGGTTTCAGTGGAAAAAAGTCTATACAATTTTAAGTTCTGTCTGCTGTTTTTCTAAATCTGTATTTCCTGGTGTACATTGTAGTATACTTCCTCTTTTGGGTAAATGTTTCATGCAACATGTACTATTTGTAGCCAAAGGCAATGGCATTAAGAAATCCCCTCTAAGTTAACACATTTCTGGCAACTCAGTTTATCTCTATGTCTAAACACAAAGATCAATAGATCTGTCTTGATAAGCACCAATCCAGCAAAGCCGCTAACTTTAAAAACATGAATAATCCATCTGATTCTCCCATTGGGAAGAAAGTCTGTGGTTTCCTGGCTTAGTTTCTGGAGAAGAGTATCAAAGAACTGGGTAAATAAGAATAACCTTGGGTTCAGCACAAAGGATACAGATCTAAAAACCCTGAGTACCAAAGACTGTAAAAGTTACTGCACCTAAGTATGAAAAATAATAATTTGTACAGAATCTTGTCTGAAAAACTGGGTGGCAGAAAATTGAAAAACCAGTATCTGTCAAGTGGAACTGTGCACCAGTTAATAAATTACCGGTGATAACATGTAACATGAGTGTCTTAAAGGACAACAAGAGATTAAAAGGGGGATTTTGAGTACAAATTGACTTACCATTATGAGCTACCAAGTTCTTAGACTAAATTTTGCTCTCAGCTCCACTAGTGATTGATATAGTTTAGTTTTTAGCCCAGCTTAAAAGAAAGCAGAAGTTGGACCACAGCATTTTTGTGCATTTGTGATATAGCTGTCACCAAGCTGATATGTAAAACTCATTCAACAATGCAAATGACTGTTATATACAGCCTCTTAATTGACATTTCATACTGTAAATTGAAATCTAGTTAAGAAACTAAACGCAATTAGGTAATATCTCCTTCATAAAAATACTTCAGAATTTTACACCCTATGGAAGACTAGACCTCTATGAAACTTAGTGGAGACAGAAACTTAACACTGCCAAGACTGCTTTAGGTGTAAGACCTGTTCCAAGAACTGCCTACACAGTAAAAAAAATTAAGCATAATGAACATTTAAAGATCAAAGTGTCATCCTTTAAAACACCTGTTAGCCAAAACTGGCTTGGTTACTAAACACCAAAGTAACTAAAACAGTTTAAGGTCAGATTTGTGTCGTTCCAATACCATAATGATGAAATCAGCACAAATACCTATCTCAAACCAAGCTACAACAAAGGTCAAAACTATTTTGTGAAATTTAATATAAAACACAGGTTGTTCCAAAGAATTTCATAAAATGACAATTTTCATAATGACGTCAGAGCAAAAATGTCATTCATATTTAATGTATTCACTCTTTTAAAAAAACAATGATTTTTAAAAGTCTTCTTCTAAATTGAAAATTTTATGATTTCAATGAAAAATGAACCACCTTTATTTTCAAGCACAATAAATGAAATAGGAATTGGACCACTATCGAACACTGAAAATGAAATGGGGAAAAAACAGATTTGTTGCAATGTATTTTCTACTTTGCTAAAAATGTTCTCACATCTTTGACTATTTTCCTTAACAAAGATTTTTTTACAGGTGAATGTATACAGAAATGTGGATAAATAAATTAGCTCTTGCTACTGTGAAGGGGTCAGCCCTCGCCCCGTCATTGTGCCTTGGGAGGACCTCCCACTCTAGGGTCCCAGGGTTCTGCTACAGATGTGGGGAGCCGGGGGCATGTGGCTCAGGAGTGCACCCAGCCTGAGAATCCTGAACTGGTATTTGAATGGTTAAAAGGGTGGTAGACAGCGGGAAACGGGGAAGGGGCAGAGCAATGGAGTCAGCTCTGCTCCAGACCCAGACAGACTCCCGCACATTACTCTCAGTAAATTCACTGCCAAAGGGGCTAGTGGGTCCCTATGCAGAGGTCCCCGCGATGGTGAATGGTCACCCGTGCCAGGCCATTCTAGACAGTGGGTCCCAGGTTACCATCCTATGTGAATCCTTCTATGAGGAACATCTGAGACACTTGCCTTTGCTTCCCCTTATGGGGCTGGGACTTTGTGGCTTAAGCCAGGAACAGTATCCCTACAGGGGTTATATGAACATGAGGCTAAAATTCTCTGCTGAAATAGCTGGGGTGGAGGAAGAAGTGTCAACCATCGCTCTAGTATGCCCTGATCTGGGGTGGATGAAAGGGGCCACTCTCATTGTAGGGACCAATCCAGCCTTTTCCAGGTTCTCGCTTGCTACCGTAAACAACAGACTGGCCCAGGTTACCAACAATGGTTAACGATGCATGCCTTGTGCTCAGAGGCGTATGACCGATGGGAGCATAGAGAGCTGTGGGGTCACCCTGAGGTTATGGGGACCCTGCAGTTCCCTGGAGCAAAGCCCCAGCAAGTCCCTGCCCAGGGCCAATGGGCTTTGCCTACTGTATGTAATTGGATTGAGAGGGATGAAAAGAATAAGCTGCCGGTGGTGGAGACCCCCACTGCAAGAGAGAGACCCGGTGCGCTGAGGGTCCCTGATGGCGTGATCAAGACAAAAGGGCTCAACCAAGACCCGGTTACAGCGATAGTGGTTAACCCAACCTTGAAAGATATTGTGGTCCACCCGGGACAGGAGGTGGCCTTGATAAAGGAAGCTGAAGTGGTGAGCCCTGAGCAGGAGGGAAACCC